GATTAGCAGTAATCTTTTACCAAAATGTACGCTTAACACATGTATTTCCCAGCCCCAAATTCTCATAGTCTGACTCCTCCCCTACCTCTTCGGAGCAGTTCCTCAGAGCTACTGGCACGCTGTCTCTTGAGCTATCATCCTCAATAAAGTCCCCGAATGAAGCTGAAAATCTTATGTTGTGCACTTTAAAATTTCAGTTGACATTAATAATGGTTTTGTTTCTTGCTCTCTAAACCCTCTGCAAGTGATCCAAGTGTTCTTGCTAAGACCTTGTTTGGGACCCAGGGCAGGCCACCCAAATGTGCTTCAACGGCATAATGATTATTTAGAATTAAATTTCCTTAAGAAATGGCCCATGCAGGAGGGACACTTTGACCCTCCTGTCTGTCTCCCTGAAAGCAGGAAATAAATCTCCCATGGAAAGGTGCCCTCCCTATTCAGGAGGTAGAAAGGCACCCTTATCTACAGAGATAGAGAAATTAGGACCAAGAAGCCTGTGAAAACAAACCTTGTTATTTATTTTACTTATTTATTACCCAAACCCAAATTTTGCTTAAATTCCTTACTATAAGCTCTCAAACCTAAATTTCTTTGTTCTGTCAGCTTCTCTCAAATGTATTGTTTCTTTGTCTAACAAAAGGTATAAAAGCTGCCTACTTTGCCCACTTCTTAGATCCCATTTCTATGAGACCTCTGTGCTTGTGAATTAAATCTGTCTCCTATCAATCTGTCTTCTGTCAGTTTTACTATTAGTCCAGCTGCAAGAACTCAAGGGGGTTGGAGGATCCTCCCCTCCTGACATCTCCAACGCAAAGTTGGGTAGCGGCGGGATGGTCGGCCTCCTCTCCTGATGTCTGACTTAAACCAGTAGGTATGAGGTTTGCCTGGAATCTTGGCAGACACTTTTTAGCACATCGAGGAAGTTTCTTCTATTTTCAATTTGCTAAGAGTTTTTCTTTTTAAGGGGTAATTTGTTTTCTACGTTTTCCTCCCATGTAAATGGGTATTGAATTCTATCAATTGACATAATTATCATTTGTTTTGTGAACCGAACCCCCCCCCCAGAAGTTTACAAATAAGAAAAGAGTTTATTTGGAGTCTTAAAAAATTGCAATTTGGGAGGCACAGACTCAGGTAAAACCAAGAATGTTCTGGGAAGAGAGACTCCGAGGCCCATGAAGCTGTGCTCTGACACAGAAAGGAAGCGTTTGTCCCTGAGGGAAGTTTAGGATAAGTGTCTGATGAATACTTTGAGTTTCTGGCAGATGTCTTCATTAGGGCAGTAAGTGGTCAAAAGGTCAGATTCCATCCAGGTTGAAACTGTCTCAGTTAGTCTTCCTCAGTGGACTCCCAGCTGCATTTGAGACTTTCTCAGCAACAGTGACTCCGTTTTGATTTTCCTGCCACAGGCTTTCCCTGGATTTATCTGTTACTGTGGTAAATAACACTAACCTATGTTTCAATTTTAAGCCGAGCTAAAACTGTACCTAGTTTAAAAGTCAACTGTACTATTGGTTTACCCGTCTATCAATAAGCAACCCCAGAAGCAACCACTTTCCTTGGTAATATGCCTCTATACTTACGGAAAAAATGGTTATAATACAGCTCTCGTTGCTTCCATCTGAGATATGATTACTGATTTCTTACTATTGAACGTTGGGACTAGTTTTCTTGCACCCCCCACTTGACCCTCCCAGTAGAGTCTGGGCATTTTGGGGGTCAGTTCAGTATTCTACTTTGTTAAGATCATAACCGTTGTCCAGACGTGAGGTATAAGGTACCCATGGCTACAGGCTCTTTCTTGTTTTCCTTGAAATTAACAGCTGACTAATGTTTTCTAGGAACCTGTGGCCGACATTCAGCAGACGTGAGAACATCCCCTCCACGTGTTCAAGTGTCCCAGGTGATCCAGGACTTCTCTTCACGCAGACCTCCCTCCCTGCGCCCCCACCCCTCCTGACAAGGGCTCTGTGGGTCTCTGCACAGTCAGGATCCAGGGCCTCCCTTTGCTCCTCTCAGGTCCCTGCTTGCATATGCTGTGTCCCGAGATCTTGGTGGGGGCAAGTGGACCTGAATTCCCACTGAGCAACACTGGCCAGTCATGGATGTTTATAGCAGCTTTATTCATATTTGGCAAAACTTGGAAGCAACCAAGATGTCCTTCAGTAGGTGCATAGATAAACTGTGGTATCTCCAGACAATGGAGTATTATTCAGCACTAAAAAGAAATGTTATCAAGCCACAAAGAGACATGTAGGACCCTTAAATACATGTTACTAAGTGAAAAAGACCAACCTGAAAAGGCTACATACTGCATAATTCCAACCAAGGAGACAATAAAAAGATCAGTGGTTTCGGGGAGGGCAGGATAAATCTGTGGTGCACAAGAAATTTTTAGGGCAGTGAAATTATTCTATGTGATAGTGTAATGGTGGATGTATGTCAATATATGTTTTTCAGACAAATGGCTATATAGGACAAAGAGTGAACCCTAACGTGAACTACAGACTTTAGCTGATAGTAATGCATCAATATTGGCTTGTTGATTGTAACAAGTGCACCACACTAACGCATGATGTTAGTAATAGAGGACACTGTGTGTGCAGATGGAGTATGTCATACACTGAGTCTTTCTGTACACCTAGAACTATTCTAAAAGATAAAGTCTGTTAATTAAGAAAAGACAATGGTGAAGATAAAATGGCATACTAAAAACTCTTACATTAACCCAAAGAAGGCAAGAAAGGTGAAACAGAAGAATGACAACAATGAAAAAAAAAAAAAAGAAACAAATTGGAAAATGGCAGCTCTAAATCCAATTCTATCAATAATTATATTAAATGTAAATTGAATATATATTCCAATTAAAAGGCAGAGATCATCAGACTAGATAAAAAAAAGCAGGATGCAAGATGTGAGTTTACAAGAGCCATTTTAAATACAGACACAGTAGGTTGAAATGAAAAGGATGGAAAAAGATATATGCAAATTAATCATAAGAAAGTTCGGACCTCAGCAAGAAGGGTCAGAGGTTCATTCTGAATACTGTCTACAGGCTGCCTGAGACCGGGCGCCAAGCACGTGAAGAGCAACAAACAGTGGGTCAAACTGTCATGCCCTGTGGTCACTGTGGTCAAGGTGAAGGCCCATCGGCGAGAATCATGTCTGAGATGCAGGTTATAACTGTAACTGGCCAGGAGACGTGTGCCTCGGCTTCCAGGGGCTGGTTCACTGGGGTCCCCACTCCGGAGCTGGAACCCGAGGAGGAGCTGGGCCTGATCCAATTGCTGCCTGAGCTACTCCTGGTGGTGCTGAGCCACGTGCCGCCACACACGCCACGTTTTCCAGGGCTGGTACACTCTGGTAGACTGCCAGGCCCTGTGACTCATCATCCTGGCCAGGACCACGGCACCCTGAGGTGCACTGCCCACAGCCACACCCCCTGTTGACAATCCCAGGCCCTGCCTCCTGGGAAGCTTCTACAAGTGTGGCCTATAGGACATAACCTCATCTGGAACCTCAAGGGCCAGGAAGTCCTCTGGAAATGGATGATGCTGAGGGGTGGGGACCTGCCCATGACCCTGGACCAGCCCCTGTTCCTGGACTTGCCCCTGACCCCAGACCTGCTCTCTCACACTTAACTCTTCACCCCACCATGTCCTTCACCACAGCAGAGCCTAGTGCTGTCTGATCAGATGGCCCACAACAGTTCCCAGCTCTGTGGCCTCAAGCAGGATTTTCAGCCTCTGCACCTGTTTTCACCTGTGATTAGTTCTGATAATGGTCCCAGGTGGTAGGAAGGTCATAGCAAAGGGCCTTGCACACAGGCCTTCCCATCTCACTCAGCAACTCCCTCTGGAGCACCTGCCACCTCCCGCCAGCCTTCTGGTCAACCCCCTATTGCCCTGGCCCCAGTACTCCTGCAACAACCCAGGGGCCACGCTGGCGAACCTGTTCCACCTCCTCCCTATTCGCACATCTTTCCCCATTCTTTCTTGCCTTGGGGCTCTGACTTGCTGGTCCTTGCTGACCACAGCTTGTCCACACTGCTCAGGATGCCGCTCAAAAACTGCTTCCTCAGAAAAACTGTTTCTGAACATCCTCTCTGAAAGTAGCATTTTTGTCACTCTATACTCTTCCCTGCATGGAACGACAGATCTGAGTGATACGGCCTCCTTCCATTAGAAGGTCAGCACCATGAGAGACTGTCTCTGTTTTGTTCACTGACGTACCCAGGGCCCAGGGCATACAGGCACCCACTAAGCAAATACTTGTTCGGAAACCGGAGTCGGCCTCTAACACTTAGGACCTCAGCAAGAAGGGTCAGAGGTTCATTCTGAATACTGTCTACAGGCTGCCTGAGACCGGGCGCCAAGCACGTGAAGAGCAACAAACAGTGGGTCAAACTGTCATGCCCTGTGGTCACTGGGCTCCTCACCACCAGGTTCCTGCAGCACGTGCTGCAGAAGCAGGGCAACCCTGCGGGAGGTGGGAGTGCACACGGTGCTGCCCCCACACCGGAGGTTGTCTCCAGAAAAAGCCCCGTCCCCGAATGCACCTGTACCTGAAAGAGTGACAAACTGGTTATTCAAGTTTGGGTCTGTGGCAGACATTATCTTCAAAACGAACAGAGTGAGACTGTCAGTCCCAGGAGAAAAAAAGAACACTCAGAACTTACTGTCAATCACAAAATTTGAGTTTTCACATGTAAGTTAGAGTCTTAGAAAACTTGCATTTGCCACTGTGAGCTTCCAATATTCTCAGACTTTTCTGATGAGACTGTTGACGATGTAACAAGTGAATTCTGGTCCTGAATAGTGGACAGTGTCAACACTGGAAGAGCTACATAACTCACAGAATCGTCACTTTCCAAATGATAACACAGATGTTACAGGACCACACCTGGGAAAAAGATCCACTCATTGTGCAGACAGATCAATGGATTGAACGCCACAGAGCACAGAAGATCATTGATACGGTTTCAGATTCTACAATATGACTATTCTTTTCTTTTTTAAAATAACTTTTATTTTGAAAAGTTTAAATCTCACAAGATGTTGCAAAAATATTACAGCTCCACATACCATGCACCCAGCTTCCCCTAGTGATAGTATTGCCACAGCACTTGTCAAAACTGGCAAGAGAGGCTGGTGCCAGTCTGGTAGCAGGCGTGGACCCGGCAGGTCTCATCTGTTCACAAGCACTTGTTTCTTTCTTTGCCAGCTAACTTGGAAGAAACCATCACCTGTTGAATTTTAGCGCAGTGTCAAAAAAAAGAACATCCACAATGATCAGAAAAGGACATTAAAGCAACTGCGTATCTGTGACTACTTTAACCACACCCACGCATCACAATGGACTGAAAGCAGAATCCAACTGTCTTCAATTAAGCCAGACATTAGATTTGCAAAAAATGTAAAACAATGCCACCCTCCCAGCTAAATACTTTTGTTTTGGAAAATATAGGGTTTTTTTCCCTTAAAAATGTTATATTAACACGCAATGGGTTTATATCTTTATTTTCAAATGAATGTATATTTCAAATGAATATGTATTTTATATATACATAGAATTAGTTTTAATTTTAAATGCCATCAATGCTGACAGAAGTAATCACATAAACCGAAGCTCCTGGGGACCCCAGTGGCTTCCAGGGTATTACAAGGCTCCCCGAGCTCTGTGAGGTGAACCTTGGCAGAAGGACATCCTCCTCCCAACAGAGCCCCAGGGCTCTCTGAAGTTCACACGCACCATGACAAACCTGGAAATGTCTTCTTCTATTTAAACACATATATTTGGGTCATATCATAACCTACCCCGAGGAAATTAAAAGTTTAGAAGTTTCTGGAGTGACTGTCAGCAGGGGAATATAATTCATATCCAAACTAAGTGACTTTATATTAAACCACTTACTATTTAATCTAAATTCAAGTACAGTCGTCATAGAAATTGAAGCTATTCATCAACATGGTAGAATTTACGTCTTTTTTTTAGAATGATCTTGCATTTAAATAGATTTTTTTATTATGCCAATCCATGAAATAAACAGTAGACTTTAAAATTAAATTATTTTTCCAGTGCCTCAGTAGTTTAGTCTAAGACTTTGTGTTGGTCCGGTCCATGGCTGTGAAGAACACACAGACAGCAGCTGTGACGAGCAGGTGCATTCCCTCATAGAGAAGTTTTGGAGAAAACACACTCCATATAAATAAATGGTAACGCAGAGATGTCACCAAAATGATATATGCGGAAACTGGAAAAGAACAAACCAATGCGTAGCAGAAGCAAGCATGACTCAGTGCTGAACTGCTGTTAACAAAAAGGGAAATATGTATTAGTATACAGACGCCACCTCCTTACCGTGTAAGGCACGGGCACATATGTAACCACATTTCTATACTGAAAATGGCTGCGGCAGTTCCTGCTCCTGGGAGCACGCCCCTCCCCCGCCACTTGAAGTCTGGGTCTGGTCAGTCTGGTGGCCACTGAGGTGCTAAGGAGTCAGAGCTGCACATGGGCAGCTCCAGTCACTCTCCAGGGCCACCACAATCTGTAAAATATTGTCGAAAATGCACCCCCAAATTTTACATAGTTATTTATTTAAGAACTATACACACATTATAAAATATAAACAAAGAAAAGAAAGCCACACAAGGATGAGATGCACATGCTGCCCAGCGGGCGCCTGGTCTGCCCGGCCTGGTCTGGGGACACTGGCTCCAGGGTGTGTGCTAAGCAAACAGGGAGGCAGAGCCTTCCTGAAATGGAAGCAACCCCTCAGAGTGCACAAACATACTGCCACCGACAAACCATGACATAAAATTAACCTGCTCCCTTAAGGCAACTTCCTGAGATTGCGACTATTGCAAGACAGCAAGTTCCAGGCACCCTTCACTCTTATCCACCCCACAGACCCTCGGAGGTCAGGCTCCCAGATTCTGGTTAAGCCCAGTTCCAGTTCTGCCCCCCTGCCCCCCCACCTCCGCAGTGAGCCCACGGGCGGCATCTCTGTGGTCACAGCACTGCTGCGGCTCTCCTGCGCCCAGAGGACCCGCAGCCCCAAATGGCCTGCCCTACCCCTGGGCTCTCTCACCGCCCTCACCCTCAGCAGGAACATGCTCTGCTTATTTGCATGGGCAGTCTCCACTGGCTGTGGTCACTCCCACCTGCAGCCCCTCCTCCGGGATGGCGCATAACTGGTTCATTTCCCTGCTGCCCCCAACAGACCGTGAGCTCCTGGAGTGAGTCCTCATGCCTACACCACGGGTTCCACTTGGGACCCAGTCCATCAGGCAGGGGATCCCCAGAGAGCTGGGCCCTGGAGCATTACCTCCTCCCTTCCCAGGGCCACCGCACCAGCACCCAGCAAAAGAACCCCTGGGGAGAAGCTCTGTGAGCAACGGGCCTTGGCACGGGGCTCCGCTGCCCCTCTCCTAGGGGGTGTCAGGGTGTCTTACTCAGCCAGGAGCCTGCTGACCCCACTTCCTTCCTGACCAGACACTTCTATTTCACACATGGTGAACATCACCTGTGTAGAGGACTCTGACTTGGGTTCCTTCCACAGTAACACCCAAAGGGGTTACAATTCCCGTAACCTCAGCAAAGGACAGCGATGGCTATGTTTTTAACTGGGGTAGAGGAGAGGGGCCTGGAGGGGTGATGGGGACAGGAAGCCCCGTCCTCCCCTCGGCAACACTCCCAGAGGACTGGGTCACAGTGCGCTCCTGGGGCCTCCCTAACAGGCTGCACCCCACGGGTTCCACAGCCCACCCAGTGCAGCCAGTGCGTGGATGGAGGCCAGGCCTGTGGACTGTGTATCCGAGTCTGCTACGGATTCACAGGCACTGCTGCTGACTGCAGCTGTGAGGTGGATGTGGCACTGAGGGAGCCCAGACGGACCCTGCCCTTCTCACACCCCCAGCACCACGCATGGGCCCCATTTCTCAGACAGGGGGCCGGCCTGCACTGGGGGCACAGCGTCTTCAGCCCATGCCCACTTGGGCTGCTCTCAGACTGGCCCAGGCTCGAAGGTTACCTTGCAGACAGAACTTGGGGGCCCCTGCGTTGTGAAGCCCCCTTTCCCAGGAAGCAGTATATAAACAAGTAAGGGGGCACTGGACGTGACGGTGAGGATGCTGTGGAGAAAACAGAAGGGGAAGGATGGAGGAGGGAGCTTGCTGGGCAGGATGGTGGGGCAGGAAAGGAGCCCTCAGGGCTGGGGACCGTCGGCTGCCATGGGGGACAGCACCCCCTGGGGCATCCCCTCTGCACTGTCCAGGATCCTTTCTCCAGCAAAGATCCTGCTTTCTCATCTCCCACCTCCACCAGGCCACCAGCAAGCAGAGGAAGTGAGAAGGGAGTTTCCTTCCTGTGTCTCTGGAGGCCACACCTCAGTACGAGCTGGACGAGACCAGCAGAGGCCCGGCCATCCTGACACAGGGCCTGAGCAGCCCCACGCAGAACCGCCCCCACACCTGCCTCTGACCCACACGCTGTGGACTGTTCATTCTTATTTAAGGAAAAGGAAAGTGATGACAAAGACCTTTGAGCCCTTGGGTTTCAGACATCCTGTCTCTGGAACAGGAGTGGCTCTTCAAAACTGTCAACTTGCCACCAGAGTTTGCGTTAAAGACAAAGGAGAGCTTCACCTGTTGGTTTCTGAGCTCAGGAAGTTCACCAAGTGGCTGGCCCACAGCACGGGACCCGCGTATGTCGCAAATGCTGTCAAGAACACGGCTGGGATCTCCATGTAGGTGTCCAGGCCCACAAAGCCTGCCGAGATGTCCACGGTGGTGATGCTGTTTGAGTTTCCCTGCACATGGAAGAAACACGGCCGACCCAGCTAGTGTCATGACACGGCCACTAGCGACTGTGAGAGCCACAATCATGGTGACGTGGACACACAGGAGCCCCAGCTGCCCATCCACTCTTGGTCTGGGGTTGACCCTGGATGAGCTGCCCCTCCACCTGCCTGCCTTACTCCCAAGTGTGGAGGAGCAAGTGAAATGTCCCTTACCTTTGAGAAACTATATAAATGTGTCTGCAGACAACTATGGAAAATTTCAAACTTTCCCCAGCTCATCTAACTTAGACAGACACCCTGACCTCCCTCCTCAGGGACACTGTCTGAAGGCTGCACATGGCCCTGGGGGCTGAGGGTGGCGTTGCCACACGGCTCATTCGAGGGTGGGCGCTGCTGCTGGGTGGCAGAGGGCAGGCTGGCTGCTTGGTGTCTGGCTTATGTGTCAGACTCAAGATCCTGGCGGTCACTGCCCAGGCCCGGCCAGGAACAGGATAGCTCGTCCTGCACAGGAAGGGTGCGGGTTTGAATCCAAGGGCAGGGTCCACTTCCAGTCTTTGATACTGGTGTCCTTTCCTCAGACACTCATGACATTTACAAATCTGACAGCACAAATGTCTGTCCCGGCCCAGCGAAGGCCCTCCCGACCTGGAACTCTTTATCTGATGGCCCAGGACATGAGTCCAGACCCCACCGCCTCCTCCTTCAGCTGCATGTCACTTGGTGGTCACTGATGCAGGGGCCCCGATGCACACGGAACAGGTGCTCAGACCCCCAGTCTCCTCCCTCTCTGCCTCTTCGGCGCCCTGTCCACACTGGTTCCTTTGTCTTCTTCCTGCTCCCAGCTGGTGCTCTGGGACCACTGGGCATGCTCTGCATTTCCCCACGTCTGCGATGCCTGGGACCTTCGAACTTTCTTCTGATAGCTAAGAAAAAGCTGTGTCCTCAGTGGTAAAACACGTGAGGCACACAAAGAATGGCACTTGTGGTCCCGGCGCTCTGGTTGTCAGAGGGGCTGCCTTCCTGTGATGGGCAGCTTGGACCCCAGGGAGGCGGGCCACCCTCCAGGTTTGCACGGACCCCAACTCTGACTTCTCGGCAGGGTCCTGATGAAGGCCAGCTGGCGCTGAGAGCTTACGCACACGGGCTACCTCCTGCTTCTCACGCTGGTTCATCTAACCCTCAGAGCCCCTGAGAAGGAGGTGAATTACTTATGAGTTTATGACCCAATTTTACAGATGAGGAAACTGAGGCATGGCAAATGCCTGCAAGAGGCCTCCTAGCTCAGAGGTGCTGAGCACCAGGGTCAGGACAACCTGCCTGCAGCTCTGCTGGGAACTGCCACCCTGGATGCTGCAGGAGCGCAAGGCTGGAGACAGGAGCACGTGGGCTGTCAGGGGAGAGCTACAGCTGCAGTGAAAGGGAAGGAAAGAGGGGTCTGAGGCTCGGGGGAGGCTCAGGGGCAGGTCGGATCCCTCCTGCACTTACGGACCTACAGAACTTCACCCCCGCCCACTCTTGGGCTTTAGGAAACAGAAGGAAAAGCCACGCACCTGAGGTGAGTGTCAGGAAACCAGGGGAGGAGGAGATGAGGAAAAGGCCCTGGGCCAAGCTGGAGACACACTGAACCAGATAAGCCTCAGGGGTCTCAGTGGAGGAGAAGGGAGGAGCCAGTGACACAAAGGAAAGACAGACCTTCATTGTAGAGATGGGAAGACACAGACGCTCAGGAGGTTTGCAAAGTTCCTTGGCCAGAGAGCTCATGTGTCCACCCTCATGAGTGCTCCTTGGCCAGGGTGGTGACGCAGGAAGGCTGGGATGGAACTGCGTCCCTCCGAGGCCAGGAGCTGGACACTCTGTCCAGCTGCCCAGGCGCCATTCCAAGTACACAGGTGCATACTGAGGTCTACCCTGGAGGTCCCCTGAACTTGCCTCTGATGGGCCCTCAATACTCAAGAGAAGAAGTGACAAAACCACAGGGCCCTGGGGGATTAATGACCAAGTGGGGAGACCCAACAGTGCCCAGTGCTGACAGGCAGGGGTGGAGGACGAGAGCACAGTTATCATCCACCTCCGATAAATCATGGAAACATGATGTGCATCCCTGACTGCCCGTGTAATCAGACCCAGCACAGCAACTACATGTCGTCACCAAGGACGTCTGCCTTAAATGAGTAAATGTACTTTTTCTTATGAAATATATGTGAGGTTTAAGCATAATATACCACATCACACTGACAGCTCCTTCACTAGACAGACGTTATAACTTCCCAGCTTACGGTAAAATTTTCTCAAAGAAAACTAAGGACAAGGGACATAAAGAGTTATTGTTGTTTTCTACCTGCAGTGATCATGAACACCTACCTGAAAATAGAAGAACGCCTGACCAAACCAATAATGCATCACGGTGATCTCAGCTGCGTCGTGCCTCAGCGGCCTCCAGACGAATGTGGTCAGGATGGCCTGGACCAGGAGGCTCAGCACTAGGACGGGGAGGTTGTGTGGTCGGAAGAGCAGTGCTGCCAGAAGCACCAAGCCGCTGTACACCTCCCAGAGGCCCAGGGTCCTGGCTGCAGAGTCCGTGGGGATGACTTGAGATTTAAGCAAGTCTTTGGTGCCCGTGAACAGAATGCCAAGGACAAAGACATAAACAAAACGAGCTTCAGTAATGCCCCTAAAAAAGCAAAACAGTTAGATTCACTAGCACCAACTAGAAAAATTCAACCCACAATTTCCCTTGAAACCATGTGTCTACTGAACTGACTACGCAAGCCTCAGCACCTGCCCTCCAGGGACTCTCTGGCCGTAGGGGTGTCTGCCTCTGCACATCGGCTTCCCCAAGACCCCTGCTGGGGGCTGACAGGCCTGCCTTCTCCGAGCGGCTGGCCCTCTCTGTGAGCACTTCTCTGACAGAGCTGGCTTATGGGAAATCTTGCTCATTCGGCCCAAGGATCACCTGGGTACAAGACCAGAGACAAAAACCCCGTCCACCTGCTTCACACAGTTAATTTGAAAAACTGTTGCAGCAGGATAGGGTCCAGCTCTGTCAAGAACTTCCATAAATGCCAAGATACAACCAAGCATGTTCACAACCAAGCAGACTGAAGTTAAGTACTCGCATGTGTATACGGATACACACATACAGAGGTGCAGTCCAAGCTGTGGGGTCTGGAGAAAGGCAGGGCCAGGGTGGTCTGGGCTCTGCCCCTTGCTGACTCTGTTGCTGGGGGTGAGTTAATTACAACTTCTGATGCTCAGCTTTGTTACTCATAAAATGAGGAGAAATGGTACCTACACCTCACAAGGCTATCCTGGGAATTAAACAAGAGAACAAATGTAAAGTGTCTGGCACAGAGTAAATGTGAAATGTTAGTATGAATTAAGTATGTTACCACTTCATTTACAGCCATCTGTAGAGAATACAATTTACGACCCATACTGAAGAATTTTGTCTTATGAAACACATATATTCCTAAAACATGTTTAAATAAATTTCATAACTCAAACATTCTATACATACTAGAAAAGCTGATCATTTAAAATAATACAAAAAAGTAATACTAACTAAATAAAATTTTAAATGAAATAAGCACCCTAATAATGTATCTGTATCAAAAACTGAATTTTCCTGTATCAGATTTTCTTAGGAAATGAAATGGTTTACGCATTTTTAAAAAATTCCTTTTTCAGTGTGGTCAGTTTAATGTAAACAGTGGGACACACTCTCTCACGTGCCTGGCAGTGTGGGAACACCAGAGACTGACATGATGTGCTGAGTGCTAAGGACGGCCCACAGGGGTTACAGAAGGAGGAACCAGCAAAGGTTCAAGCAATGGGAGAAGTTCCAAAGAGGAAGGAGGCTGGGCTTTCTATGGAGGAAGGGCCAGGGTGGGCTGGATGGAGAGCAGGAGAGCGTGCGTCCCCCTCGCCTTCAGCAAGCCCACCTCCTGGCCCAGCCAGCTGGCTATGCCTGCACATGGAGAGCTGCCAATCAGGGCCTCCCCTCAAGCCAGGCCTGGGCTTCAGGGTGGAGAAGAAGGTCAAGAGTTAAGTGTAAAGGGCTCTAGAGCACACATGGACAGCAGCAGCTGGGGCTGACAGGAGAGAAGCAGCTTTTAGGCGATCTAGAACCAGGGAAGATCCAGAACCAGGGAAGATCCAGAACCAGGGAAGATCTAGAAACAGAATGGTTCTAGAATCCGAATGGACTTGGATCCAGGCTCAACCTAGAATGGAAGCATCTCACAAGAGGGTGAGAACAAGCAGTGCAGGTTAGGGAAGCGGGGCACTGCCTACGTTCTGGACACCAATGAGGTACAAGCCGTTGTATCCATGAAAGGTAAGTGAGAGACACTGAAATCAGGTGTGTCTACCTGAGAGAAAAGAGGAATTTACTCATATACCACACTCTGAGATTTAAACAAACACTCCATATTGAACCCCCTCACACTGACATCTAGCCTTGACATCTGTCCAGAGCCTCAGACTCTGAAGTGAACAGCCTTCAAGATGTCTCCCTACCTGACCTCCCTGCCTCAGGTGAAGTCCTGCCACTCTGCTGTCACCTCAGCCAGGCCCTCAGTATCACCCTGACTCCCCACACCAGTTGACACGTCCTGTTTCCAGGTGAGCCCCTTGTGCCCCTCGGCCACCCACATGACTTGATCATAGCCCTCAGAACTCACTCTGACCCTTCCAGAGATGACACCTGCTTTTCTTTCTCTCTAGAAAAGCAATACCAAACATTCAGAGAAGAGTTAACACCTATCCTTCTGAAACTATTCCAAAAAATTGCACAGGAAGGAATGCTTCCAAACTCATTGTACAAGGCTACCATCACCCTCATACCAAAACTAGACAAAGATATCACACAAAAAATTATAGGCTACACCAGAAATTGACACAACAGTATAAACTGAGTATACTTCAATACAAAACAATTTTTTAAATAATAAAATAAAAAACAAAGAAAAAATTTATAGGCCAATATCACTGATGAACATTGATGCAAAGCCTACAATAAAATATTAGCAAACCAAATTCAACGATACATTAAGAGGATCATACACTGTGATGAAGTGGGATTTATCCCAGGAAAGCAAGGATGGTTCAATATCTACAAATCAAAGTGATACGCCACATTAACTGAAAAATAAAACTGAAAAATAAAAATCACATGATCATCTCAGTAGACCCAGAAAATGCACTTGACAAAATTCAACATTCATTTATGATAAAAACTCTCCAGAAAGTGGGCACAGAGGTAACATACCTCAACGTAATAAAGGCCATATATGATAATCCCACAGCTAATATCACACACAATGGTGAAAAGATGAAAGCATTCCCCTAAGATCAGAAACAAAACAAGGATGCTCACTGTCACCACTTTTATTCAACATAGTATTGGAAGTTCGAGTCACAACAAACAGATAAGAAAAAAAAGGGGGGGGGTGGAAACCAAATTAGAAAGGAAGAAGTAAAACTGTCAGTGTTTGCAGATTCCATAATACCATACGTAGAGAATCTTAAAGACACCGCCATAAAATTACTAGAGCTCATCAATGAATTCAGTAGTTATAGGATACAAAATTAATAAACAGAAATCGGCTGCATTTCTATACACTAACAACAATCATAAAGAGAAATGAAGAAAACAATCCCACTGACAAGTGCCTCCAAACGAATAAAATACCCAGGAATAAGTGTAGCCAAGGAGGTGAAAGACCTGTACTAGGAAAACGATGCCACAATGGAAGAAACTGAAGACAACACACACAGATGGAAAGACACACCCTCTTCATGAATCGGAAGAATCAATATTATTAAAATGACCACACTACCCAAGGCAATCTACAGACTTACTGCAATCCCTAACAAATTATCAATGGCAGTTTTCAAGGAACTAGAACAAACAGTCTCAAAATTTGTAGGGAAACACAAAAGACTCCAATTAGCTAAAACAATCAAAGAAAGAGGAACAAAGCTGGAGGAATCATACTCCCTGACTTTAAACCATAAGACAAAGCTGCAGTAATCAAAACACACACACACACCCCTTCATGGAACAGAATGGAGAGCTCAGATGAACCCACACTTACATGGTCAGTTAAACTACAACCAAGGAACAACAAATAAAATGGGGAAAAACAGCCTCTTCAATAAATGGTGCTGGGAAAACTGGACAGCTACATGCAGAAGAATCAAACCATGCACAGAAATAAATTCAAAATGGATTAAAGACTTAAATGTAACCTGAAACCACCACCGTCGGCCACTTATGTGTTTTTTGTTATGTGCAACTGTAAGTAGCGCTCCAGAGAACACACCTGTATCCCCATGTCTGGCCTCTCCTCTAGTTGTATTTTTGACATAAATTCTATAAAAGCATGCCTGAGTCAGAGGGTTGGAGAAACACATTTGATGAACAGCCCTCCGGAACGGCCTCTGCTTGCACCAACCCACATCACCGTTAAAAACAGAGAAGCGGCCACTTAGACAGGCAGAAAGTGCAAAAAGCGGTATTCCTGATTCAGTCGGCATGAGCCGCCCCCTGCCAACAGGACTCACCGTAAATCCTGGGAAAGCTATTTTCCAGCTTCACCTCAGCAGCTAGGAGGCACCCACTCCTTACTATCCTCATTGCTTGCTACTTCTTGACGGAGCAAAACTGGATCCTGTAAATTCTTTATATTTTAAAGAATTCCTTATTTAAAAAATAAGCCTCAGTGACCTTACTCCTAAGTTATTTCTCTGTCTTCTACCAAAAAAAGGCAGCTAGCAGAATTGGTTCACTGAGGTGCTGTCAGATAGTAACTGCTGACAAAATCACAATTCACACAAAACTCTAGTGCTCTCAAGACTGCAACGGCAGTTTTTGGTACATAAAACGCTAGACCGGATCTAAAGGCAAATGCTCACATCTGCCAGTACACTTACTTTGAAATGTCTTTGTTGTCTTGTTGCCATGGGAACAGTACATTTCCAATGGCTGCCCGGTAGCAGTAGACGCCCAGCAGGCCAAACGCCATGGCCACTTTTGATGCAGGGGAGCACCTCCTCTGAACCAACGCAAAAATCATGATGAGGGAAAGTGCAGCCAGAACAGAGAGCTCAGCTTTATGATCAGAGCTGAAAAGAAATGGAGAATGCCCAAATTACTAGCGACTATGGCTAGCGATGTTACGGATCTACACCAAGTGCCTTCTAAGAACTGTGCTAAAAAGAGCTGATCTTCCTAAAAAGTGAAAAAGGAACCTGTTGGTTATTTAAATTCAAACAAGTTCTTCCAATGGAACAAATAAAGGGCTAGTCCCCTGCACTTCCACTGCTCGCTCTCAAGTGTCAGCCATCATCAGCTCCGCACCGGCCAGAATGGTGACATCTTTAAAACTGTGTCTGCTGTCTCTCCGGTGCCCTCTCTGGGGCAGCCCCACTTTCCCCAACCACAGGTGAAGAGGCTCTGGGCAGCTCACCCTACTCATGGGAGACACACACGCCCTGCTGCCAACCTCTTCCAGTCACTCGTAACGCAGATGGTCTCACATAAGTGTATGCCCCCTCCCAGGCGGGAGACTTTGGGGGGCAGTGGGGCACACAGCTGTCCAGGGCAGGCCAGTCCCCTCTCTCTACCTAGCCTTGCCCACCACCCCTGCTACCTTGGGGGCGCCTCACTGTGGAGGCATGGTCTTTTCTGTTTTATTCACTGCAGCCCTACTCACAGAGCCCAAACACTCAACAGTCTGCCAGGGGGTACACACTGATAGGAAAAACTGTGTGGGAAGATGCAGAAGAAAGGTGTAGCCAGTGTCAGGACATGGGTCCTGAGGACGGCAGATGAGGATGGGGGCCACACTGGGGCCTGGCACTGCCGGGTCCACTTCTTGTTGCTCTGTAAACTGTACGCTTTATGCAAATCCCAGATTGCTAACTGTCACAAATGACAACAGAGAAGGCGACTTTGGGGATCTCACGGCGGCTCTGCTGTGGAGAACACTGCAGCCTCTTCACAAACTGGTGGAAAGGGCTGGGGTCCAGTGTGCTGGAAGGGGATCCAGACCGAGATGCGGACACAGCTGCACCTGGAGAGGGGGCAGGGCTTGTGGGGGCACCACTGCATGCGCCTTATCTAGGGATGGAAATCAGCAGATCCTCCTGTGGTGTGTCGGTTTCCCAGGAGAGTAAGAAGTGTGGTCCCTGTGCCGCCTCAGCGCTCTCACCCTCACATGCTCTGGCCATGACACCCAGCAAGGCCTCTCACTCTTGATGATGCCCTAACTCCCCTCTGCCTCCTCACCCTAAGTAGGGATGGGCCATCATCCTCTCTTCAGGGCTGCTGTGAAAAGGAAATGAGCGGGCACACAGCAGGCACCCAAAAATGCTACCTGTGGTCACTGTGGTTGCCAAGGGTTTGCTAATACAGTTAATACTGGGGAGAAATTCACCACAGGAATTATTTAGCCAGAGGAAAAATAATTTTACAGCCTTTGAGGTACAATCCCAGGTATCTTCCAAAAAGGCTGTGCCAGTGTGTGGTCCTAGGACCCTCCAGTGCTCACCGAGACGTTATCCCTTCCTTTGGTTTCTGTACCTCATTAGTTATGAAATTGTGTGCTGTTATTTAGCTGAAGTTCCCTAATTTCTAGCAGAACTGAGCATTTTCCCTCTCTTTCCTTTGGCACTTCCTCCTCTAGGAATGTGTGTTATTCTCCTGAGTCCCCTTCCTGTTGGTAATTTTTACAGAAGTTCTTCACAGCAACCAGACAGTGACCTTCGTTTGTCTCTCTCGGAAACACTTTTTCATTTTGCTGTTCTCCCCTTTGTTGAGATTTCTAAGCCTTCGCTGACTGTTAAAATGCATGAGTTAGCCAAAGTCTCGGTCTTTTCTGCCCTAGTTTCCTCTCATTGCTTTACTCCTCTCTGTCTGCTGTGCTTTCTACTGGGCTTTCCAGCCGTTCGAGAGGCTTTGCAGGGCTGAAGGCTCACCCACTGGCTCCAACCAACACAGCTGCCCTTTTCGGGGGTGGGGAGAGAAAAGGGGGGTGGACACACGTGCCTTGCACCATTTGGGACAAGGCAGCAGGGACCAACTACACCCTTGCTGCAATTACCATTTTAAACTTGCAGGTTTTCAAACATGAACAATTACAGTGATTTTAGCACTAAAAAACCCCAACATATTAGGGCAGCCTCAAATAAATTCACCTTTCAACATGAATTCATGGTCATTTTTCTATTTCTTCAGGCCCCAAATACCATGTCTATCCTGAATATAAAAACTAGGCCTACAACTTGAAAAAGGAGACACTGCATATGGCCGGTCGGCTATGGGAGGTCTGGCCCGAGGCCATGCTCTGCTCTCACCTGGTGAGCCAGTGCCCCAGGTCAGGCCGGTGGGCCCACTGCACGCCCGTCTGGTTCAGAGACCGCAGCAGCCGGCAGCAGGTGAGTACCAGCCACGGGCTTGCCAGCACCATCCACCTCTCACAGCCGCTGGGCACCTCCACAGGAGAGGGGCCCTTGGACACCGTGTCGAGCTCTAGCACGCTGCAGCCAGCTCTCTTGGCCTGCAGGGCTGGCGTGGCACCTTCAGGTTCCTCCTCTGCGTGTAAGCCGTGCTGAGGCCCACAGTCGTCTCCCAGAAAGCAGCTTCTGCAGACTTCGCGACACAGGGCCAGGCACAGGGTGTTGACAAGGAAGTACCAGGTCTGGTGCTCCTCTTCGATGAAGCTGCTCGCACCCAGACTCAGGACATGGCCCACAGTCCCCAACAAGATAAGAAGATCTAACTCCGACCGCCTTGAGCTGGAACGAGCTGGAGTCTGCAAAAAGGAAACCGTGCTGTGTAAGGGGAGGTCTGGCTGAAAGGTGCAGCTGTCCTGCTGCAGGTGCCACAGAACACAGCCTGCTGTGGCAGACACCTGCTGGTTCCCACACAGGACCCCACCCAGCCTGCTCGGCGGAACGGCCCATCAGCCTGGGGTGCTGCAGGGAGGTCATGGGGACAGTAGGGCAGGCCTCCCCCTGGACTGCAAGCCCTAAGCTGAGTGACAGCGAGACTGAAGATGTCTGGACCCACATCGCCTCGACAGGGCCCGGGTCAGATGGCTCGCCCACCGGCTCCGGGACCCTTCCAGGCCCTCGTCCTCACCTTTTCAGAGTCGGTTCCCGCTACCTGAACTCAGAGAACCCCAAGGACATATTCCACCAAACCAGACATCTAATTTCCCCATGAATTTTCCTGAAATCCGGGGAGTTCCCACTTCAACAGTCAACTTTATTGAAATGACAAGGTTGGATCACAGGGCTATTCCTTACATATACTAACTTCAGGCATTTAAAGGTGAAGATGAGGACTTGACGCTGTCATTGGTAACAACTCAACATTCATTCTACTAATCGTGTGCAGCTAGTACACAATGGAGAGGTGCTGTGAACCTCGTCAGGCCCCGGAGAGCCCCACGTGTGAGCAGGGAGATAGGTGTTGTGAACGACAACACACCAGCTGCTCAGCCATGGGCACGCGGGCCGGGGGTATCTGCGGCCCCTGTGACGAGTCCCTGCACTGGGTCCCCTGGGCCCTGGGCGCTGTGGCCTGAAAGGACTGCCCATCTCCTCCTTGCCGCCCTGCCACCACAACCAGCTGATGCAGGAAGGTGTCAGAGGCTGAAGGCTGTAAGGATTCTAAAGCAAAGTGCCAGTCTCGGAAAGCAAACTGCATTTATGAAGCAGAATGAGGATAGGGTCCGAGACTCCTTTTGACCTCCCTGGAGTGTTAAGGGGTTGACGCCTTCCTCCCGGTAACGCCCTTCCCTTGGCTGCGCTCAAATGCAGCCTCTGATTCAAACACTTCCCCATCAGTCAGTGGCCCAGCAGCTGTGTGCGGTCCCTGGGTACAGTCAGGGGACTTGTCTCTTCAACTCGGATGGAAGCATGAGACCCGACAACACAGGTCTGAGAGACTAAAGTCAGGGTGCTCAGGGGCCTGGGAGACCTGCTGCTGTGAGCACATCCTGTTGGCTTCTAGGAAGGGCAGGCCCCTTTCCTCGGCTCCCACCAGCACTGTGCCTGGTCCACACCAGGGGTTCAACCAACGTCTGATCAGCTGAAATAACCTGAAAAGGCCTACCCAAAAAGACACTGCTGTGTCTGCAGGGCCCAGCCCTACCTGACTCAGAAGCTTCCCACGGGCGAGCGTCTTGGCGAGAGCAGATGTGACTGCACAGAGCAGCGTGGAGATCAGCACCATCACTCCACCGGCTGCCGGCCACGAGAGGCTGCACAGGTAGCACTGACTGCCAGCAGAGGTGCACACGATGACATGCAGGGCCGAGAGAACCAGGAGTACCAGGTAAAAGAGCAGCGAAAACACAGGCGACAAGAGAGGGACATCCAGCTCAGCCTTGCTGCTCAGCGCTTGTGGGACGCTGAGCAGGAGCAGGGTGAGAACCTGGAACAGGAACACAACAGCAGCGTCAACGGCTGCTGGGTGTGGAGAAGCCTGCATAGAAGAAGCCCGTCTCTTGACCCTGCGTCATCGTTCAAATGGCAGAAACTGAAAAGAAAGCAGAGACCCAACACACACGATTTGTCATGAGCTGCCAGGAAGGGGCACCGAGTGGTGTGGAGCAGGGCCCTGGGACACCTGACGACATCGGGGTGTCAGGACGCCCCACGAAAGTCTAACAAGCAGAGACACTCACTTCTCCCTTTTCAGAAACACTGATGCTGCATATCCTTCAAACTACAGAATCCTGGCTGATATGCAATCGGCCTGCCAGCCAAGCCCCCACTCCACACGAGGACCATACCTCCAGAACCACGACAGTCCCCACCACCATGGAGTAGACGTCGTACTGGGCCATTTGTCTGCTCAGGGACAGGCTCAGGGTCCTCAGGGCATCCAAGTACTGCCTGCGCAGCTTGCTTCCCAGGTTGAAAAGGACTTCTGAGGAGCTCTCCTCCAAGTACAGCCTGATCCAGTTCCCATGCAGCCTCTCTGATACTTTAAACTGCTCGAATCCAGGGTCTGACAAGAAGAGAAGGCGACGTACGCAGATCACAGACATGCCACCCACGTCCATTTCACAGCATTCCGTTACTTACGGCTTACAACAAAGCCTGACTGCCCCTTGGGGGGCGGTGGTCAGCGACACCTTCAGTAAAACTGCAACATCTAGCGATGCTGGCCTAGGCTCTGACGCCAGCTCCTCCCACGGCCTCGGCACACAGCCACGCACAACACCCCGCAACTTGGCCCCGTCTTCCCCTGCCTCCTGCTTACCTCTCTCCCCTTCTCTCTCCACTTGCTTCCTCAAGGTGCAATGTTAAAATAACCCAGAAAGGCACTGCACTAAGAGGCCCTTGGCTTTACAAAATCTTTCCAACCCTCAGGCACTGAGCACGGACTGGGCAGGAGTGGCCTGAAGCCTCCTCCACTGCGTCCACTTTTCCGAGGGGGGCAGGCCACCCCCACCCCCATCAGCTCCCTTCTCACTGTGTCCCTTCCTCACAGTCTCTCCTGGGAAGCCCCTCCTACCCCAACGCTGAGCTAAGTCCTCACTCCAGGGCTGGCCACAGCCCGTGGACAGAGCCCAGCCCCGGCAGCCGCTGGTTCCCTCTTCGGGACAGCAGTGAACCAACCCCTCCTCACACAGCCGCTGAGATCCTCACCCGTCGGACGGCTCAGTTCTCAGTTCCTCACTTCACTTTACCTTGAGCAGCATTCAACACACCCTCACACCCTCCTTCCTGAAATCCTTTCTTTACTTGGCTTCCTCAACAAGCCTGCCCCCGACCCGCGAAACACACACAAACACACACACACACACACAGCCTTGCAAACACGTCCTTCCTCCAGCCTTCTCTCCCTCGATCATGGCCACTGCATCCTTTCACTGCTCAGCTGAGAACCCCAAGTTGTTCCTTACACCTCTGGTTTGCATGCACCTTATATCCAGTGCATCAGCAAATCCTGTTTGCGCTACCTTCGAAATGTAGCGAGAATTCAACCATTTGTCCCAGATTCCACTACCTGGGCCCTCCCTCCCTCATCTGTCTCTGAAGTCACACGGGCACCTGAAAGAGTCTCTGAAAATGCAAGGGGAACACGTCAGGCTCTGCACGGAACCCGGTAGTAGCTCCCACTTAACTTAGAATGGAAGTGAGAAACCTTCAACCCTCAGGCCTCAGGTCCTTCTGCCTGCCCCCAGTTCACTCTGCTCCAGACACTGTGGCCCCCGGTCACTCCATGAATGTGCCGGCAGGTCCCCAACACTAGGCCTTGCGCCTGCCATGACGCCCCTGCCAGGCTCCCAAGCCAGACTACCCCGATGCCCTCACCGCCTGCACCCCTCTTCCACCTTCAGCCTTTTCCTAAGGCACTGTCACTGTCCAACACTTACTGTCCCCTTTCTGTCCTCCCTCTGGACAACTGGCTCTGTGAGGGCAGAGCTCTTGTGCTGTGTCTTGAGTGCGTTCCACAGTACCTGGCCAAACAGGACACTGAAAAAACTCAACATTTGCTGAATGAGTAAATGTATGAAAGAATCAGCTTTAGACAAGTGCATCTGCAGGCACCACTAGTGGCGACAGTCAGGGCCCTGATCAAACAGAACACACAGCCTGACTGCTGAAGCCCCACCACGGACACACCAGGACAACGCCAGGCACGCAGAAACACAGTGCAACAGGTGTCAGCAACTGTTAACTGGCTCACCTTTCTTATAAGATGGTACATTCTCTTGCAACAACTTGCTAAGCTGTACTGTATTTAAATGCAAAAATCTCAGTTGTTCTCTCATTGGTTTTCCTTCTACAACTGGGAACAGGAGACTGCCCACACTGTTCTCTGGAATCGGCAGACCAAGCCCTATGGACAGGGTTGCAGCTAAGTCAGTCTGCTGGACGTGCTTTGGGTGTCTGATGTCACCTAGAAGAAAGGAGACGGTTTAAGTGACAGGCTCGAGGGTGTGTATGATGGTAGTCACTCCTGAATCTGACCTTCTACAGCAGTGTAAATCAAATCACCCATCTCCACAAACTGTTCCGTGTAGATTCAGACAGAAATCACCTCGTTGTTTTCTATGTCAATAAATTTACACAACACTCACTGTACGCGGAGCCTGGTGCCTTCCCCAGAGTAGCACATGTACAAGGGAGGGATACTAGCACGAGGAACTCTGTAACGCGTGGTTTCGGAGTGTGGGGTAGACACTGAGGTAGAGGGAGCCCAGTGGATGCAGAGGCACATTCACTTTGGAGAGGTCAAGTCAACCCCCCCGCCCCTCTGGATTCAGAGCATGCACACAGCCCCCCAGAGAAGCTGATGGGTGAGACCAAGGACAAATGTGAGAACAGGCTGAGGGGCTGTGGATGACGGGGTCAGGCCACGTGAGGAAAAGCTTGTCACCTGGAGGACCTGTGGGAGGCCCGGATACGGTGAGTAATGGGGAACGCGGCTCAGGACAAAGCAATGAGGTAGGCAGGGAGCCTCACGTAGGAGTTTCACTGTATGTGAGGTTCAGCTACTGAAAGGTGGTATGTGTGGGAGATGGGGCTGGCCCAGCATGTGGAAGGAGCAAAGGAGGACACCAGGCTTCTATCCTAAAGAACGGGGAGTGGGGGGCAGACCAGAGGTGCAGTTATCCCACGCACTCCAGGTGTGGGAGGGCCACACAGGTGCGTCAGCAGGCAGCTGGGCAGACAGTCTAGACAGAGGAAAGAGGAGACAGCTGGAGGGACAGATGTGACAGCTGTGCCCCTCCCATGGAAGTAGACGAGGTCTACTGGAGTGAGGAGTGAACGCAGAGTGAAAGAGGCCGCCCAGAAAAGAGGCGAGGGCACTAAGCCCGCAGAGACGACACGACCCGGGAGAGGTCAGAGGGAAACCGGACAAATGGGAGGCCCCAGGGTGGGGGGTCAGCCTGCCCACTGGAACTGAGGGGTCTTGAGGGAGGGAGCCAGCGTCCAGCGTGGGAACACTCGTGAGGCCTAGATCAAGGGTGGGGAGCCAGACGGCCAGCCAAGTGCAAAGGGCTGGTGAATCTGAGCCAGAGAGCCACGGGTAGGCCCTCGAGCTAGTCCTGTGACTTGCTGACACTGCTATTCAGTATATAGGTTCAAATAATGGACACTCTTTAAAAGTTTAATTTTTTATGTTTCTCTCAATTTGTACACGCGGTTCTGAAGTCTCTAAGCTGCCAGCACTTCTTATGAACAGTTCCAGACACCTAGGCCGTGACAGTCACACCACAAAATTCCTGAAAAGAATATTTGTATTTGAAGAATCAGGGCAAGAGATGTAAAGTCCAAAGCTTGACCGGCCCTCACGCTGTTAGTTTTCATCCTCACACCGCTCAGGGTTTTCAAACTTAAACTGCTTCCAAAAAGGTTGTTTTTAAAACTATAATCAGCTCATACAACTTAATAAGAAAAAACCAAACAACCCCATCCAAAAATGGGCAGAAGACCTAAACAAGCATTTCTCCAATGAAGACAGACAAACGGCCAACAGGCACATGAAAAAATGCTCAATATCGCTAATTATCAGAGAAATGCAAATCAAAACTACAATGAGGTGTCACCTCACACCAGTCAGAATGGCCGTCATTTTAAAGCCCACAAACGATAAATGCTGGAGAGGCTGTGGAGAGAAGGGAGCCCTCCTACACTGCTGGTGGGAATGCAGTTTGGTGCAGCCACTGTGCAAAACAGTATGGAGATCCCTCAAAAGACTAAAAATTCACTTATCATGTGATCCAGCAATCCCACTTCTGGGCATACATCTGGAGGAAACTCTAATTCGAAAACACACATGCACTATTTACAATAGCCAAGACATGGAAACAACCTAAATGTCCATCGACAGATGACTGAATAAAGAAGGTTTGGTATATTTATACAGTGGAATAGTACTCTGCCATAAAAAATAATGCCACTTGCAGCAGCATGGATAGACCTGGAGATTGTTATTCTAAGTGAATTAAGCCAGAAAGAGAAAGAAAACTACCATATGATATCACTTATATGTGGAATCTAAAAAAAAGACAAACGAACTTACTTGCAAACCAGAAGCAGACTCTCAGACACAGAGAACAAACTTACAGTTGCCGAGGGGGAGAGGGTGGGAGGGGATAAAATGAGAGTTAGAGATTTGCAGATGCTAACTGATATATATAGAATAGATGAACAGTAAATTTATACTGTATAGCACAGGAAACTATATTCAATATCTTGTAGTAACTTATGGTGAAAAGAGTATGAAAATGAATATATGTTCATGTATAACTGAAGCATGGTGCTATATACCAGAAATTGACACAACACTGTAAACTGATTGCACTTCCAAAAAAAACACACAAATATATATATATATATATATATATATATATATATATATATATATATACACAAAATAAATAAAGAATCCTAAAAAAATTAATTGAAAAAAATAAAACTAAAATCAAGTGGTAAAACAAAACAAAACAAATTTATTTAAATTAAAAAAAATCAGACTATAGAAAATGGAGAAAATACAGTTTTAGAGTTAAACGTCCCCAGAGTCTCACCATGTTTCCTTCCAAATGCAGAGCTGATTAGGACCAGAGGGGTGTTCACTTCCTCCGGGGAAGAGGCCCCATGACCCCCTGTTTCAGCCATGCCGTGGTCCGCACAAAGAACCAGCAGATTGGGTACCAGAGTCTCTCTCTCCTGCGAAGTAACGGAAAAGTATTTCCAGTGTACCCAGACCGAGGAAGACACACCATCTTGTTAAGAAAACAACTTCAGATTTTAGTTTTATTTTATAAATTGTAGCTCTTTCTAAGTGAGTTGGTTTTCCTTTTTTTTAACCTAGGAGCTCATTGCCAGATCAAGGGTCAAAGTCAAGTGAATTGTAAACAAAACAGATGGAATCATGTGGAGGTCAGAGCACAGAAGGGCTGTGTTCAGCCTCTCAGGGCAGAGGATCTGGGTTTGGTTTCTGTCTCCGTGACTCCAAGCTGTAGGAGCCGGGGCCCCCGCCCCCTTGTCTGTCAAACAGAGCCACCCCTGGGGCCCAGCAGCGGCCGCGGCTGCCCCTGGATTTGCCTGTAGGCTCTGGCTTCCATCGCTGCTTCTCAGCCTGGAACACACCTGCACAGGTGGCGCCTTGGCCCTACCACCCCCTTCAATCTCTGCTCACAACTCACACATCCTCAAGGACCACTGCTCTCAACACACCATTTTAAATTATGGCTTTTCTCTCAGATTCTGTGCCCAGAGAGGGACGGTGGCAGAGGAGGCACTCAGGAAACATCTGTGATGAACAGGGAGAGGTAAGAGCTGCTATTTCACAGGGCTGCGGGGAGATGGTGTCAGCACAGGGCACCTGCTCGTAGGTGAGGGCTGCTTGAGTGCCGGTGGGGGTGAGGTTCACGCAAGGTCACCCGACTTCACGTTAGGAGCTTTACTTCCTCTAGGAAATACTGGCGCCCTGACACCCAAGGCCCACGCAGCGCACCTCACCTCGGACAGCAGCGAGGTGTGGACCTTCATCAGGACGCCGTCCATCTCGCTGAGCTTGTGCCCGATCAGTGGGCTGCTGGGCCCAGAAATGTGGCCGATGTGGTCCAGCCCGAGGTAGTGGAGGATTAACATGTCCCAGTCCCGCCTTTTTAATACTTTATCCAAATGCCTTGTAACATTATCATCCACCTTGATAGGGGAAAAATTACACATGAAGAACTCCCTGAAGTCCCCTGAGTTCACCCTTCAAGGGAAAGGGATGTGGTTGTTATAAAAATGAGGGGTTTATGTTAGGTAACTGGACTCATGGGAGTTTGAAAAGACTTAAAAAAAGAAACCCCCAAGTAAAAACTGTCTTTAAAAATGTTTGCATTAGCTTAAGCTTTCACTAATACTGTTTTTAATGTCTCTAAGCTGTAGATAGGACAAATTGTAATTCAAATGAACATGGGCTGTTCTGACAAAACAGTTTCGTGGGGTCACTACCAGAGCTTAAGCGGAAGTAACCAGTGACCAAGTTCAACAGGTGCCAAGTTGCTATGAGGCTACTAAGGGCAGTGAGCTAAGACAGGGCAGCACCCAGAGTGCAGGGGAGGAGCAGGGGCAGCTGAGGGCATCTCGTGTGCCTACAAGGCTGTTCCGAAGAAGGCACGCAGCCCTCGGTGACTCGCAGTTACAGCCCCTGACAGAGCTTCAGCCCCGTCAGCCTAACTCTTCACCTGGCCCCTCCCTCCCCATGAAAAACCTACTACAGAGAGAAGAACTTCAGAGTGTACACACAGGATGGGCAGTAACTGCTGTGTTCACACTGCTCGGCTTGGTGTGGCAGGACTGCAGATGTTCCCCCAGGCCCAGCAAGCAGGCAAGGGTGGTGCGAGGCATCCACCCAACGCCAGCCCAGGTGTGTGGGTGCCTCTGCCCTGTGGGCCTCCCTCCGCCCCCGGGCCAACTTTCTCACCGCAGGTTGAATCACGCTTCTTTTTCCTTGTTGGAGGCTGCATGCCCAGCACAGGGCTGCCACCTCTCAGGACCAGCTCCACCCAACTCACTTCTGCCCTCTTGCCACTGCACAGTGAGGAGGATCCCAGACCGACCATGGGGTCCTCGGGCTCTGCCTCGTACAGATGCTGCCACCCCATCCTGTCCACTGGCAAAGGCCCCACTCAACTGTCAAAGCTCAGATTGAGCGGTTCCTCCCAGGAGGCCTCCCCAACCTCAGCACCTGTGAGCAGCAGGTGAGCAGCTGGCCTGGGCTCCGGCTCAGAGCACTACGCTCGCACCTGCGTCAGGATTTACGTTCCTTGCCTGTAGCTGGTTACGGAAGGAACGGTTGTTCCAATTCCTCCATACTGTTCCCAACATACTAATAGAAGCCACATACAGAACAATGTTGCCTCTCACTAAGTAAGAGGGCATATTTTTCTTAAAAACTGACCTCTGTATAATCTGATACGAAAAATGAGGTTGTTCCATCATATTCCACAAAATGCTTTGGAAATAATTTCACCCATGTTTCATCCCCATAAAAGACGATTCTTTTCCCAGCTGCTCTTGCCCGTGAGATCACGCTGTCTTCCAGCAGTGTGGGAGAATTGAGGTTCCTGACGACATCGATGAAGCCGGGGAGGCTCCCTGTCATCAGCGTCTGCAGGAGACATTCAGGAATCAGACCCGTAATCAAGTGCAGAGTGGGAGCAAAGATGGTTTCACGAATGAGGCGAGCACAGGGCTGGGGCAACCCCAGGACCCAAAGCTGGGTCAGTGTTAGGACAAAGAGGGAGAAGCTGCAGATACCGGGCAAAACCAGAAAGCTCAACAGTGGAGAAGCGACCATACTTCAGCTGATGAGAGGATACCGAGGAGGCCGTGGGGCAGCCAGACGACGTGGCGGCCACAAAAGCAGCTCTGGATGGTAGGAGCTGGAGCAGACGGCCGGGTGTGTGCACTGCGAACACGGACCCACTGTCAGGTCTGCTCCACGTGACACGCAAACTCCACGCACTAACCCTAAAGGCCGCTGATTCCAGCGTCCACCCAAGAGGACAGCTCCTCACACGCTCAGGGAGGAAAGCAGTCTCCAAACGTGAACTCTCAGGAACTCTCACAGTAAAATGGCCCAGGGCCGCTGGTGGGACCCCGCCCCCAACTTGGCACCGTAATTTCTTGGAGAAGAGGGTGGGTGTGACGTGTCCTCACGCCTTTCTGACACAGAATTAAGTCAAAACTTCCCTCATTTTACCTCAGTCTCTGTGATCTGCAGTTAGCAGGCAACCCATGACACTAGCATTCAGGGGCCTGTGTGATGGAAATTAACAGGAGTCTGGATAATGCCAACAGGCGTAATAATTTTGCCAAGACTTCTTTAACAGCAAATTAATACAAATAGAAATTAATCCTGGACTTCGGGAACGAGGAGCTCAGCAAATCCTCTCCCCTAAGAACGACAAAATTGGATAAAACTGCCGAAAACAACCATTTCAGGACTTTGAAAACTCAGCAAGGATATACACAAATTGAAACGTTCTTATTCAAGACAAACTTGCGAATTTTGGTAAGAGCTATGCGTACCTGTGGTGTTTTAACTCGGGCTGCTCCTCTCCCTGACACCCAGCAATGAGGCAGCCATGACAGCCAGGAGGAGCCTCCCCGATCCTGCCCTCCAGCGAAAAGTCCCCTGCCAGGGACGAGGTGAACACAGGGAAGGCCACCGTCACAGTGCCTGGAGGCTTCTACGCTGGCTGTAGTAAGAGACCAGCAAAAAACTGAAAAAGGGATCCTGGGGAACAGGACAGCTATGATGGACTTCCATGAGCTCCCACGTATTCCTGGTACCCGGAAGGCCGCGTGAACACACAGGGCTGCGCGCACATTCAGGAGAGAACAGAGAGGGCCTGGTCACCTGTTACTTCCAGCTGAACAGAAGGCCCTGCTCAAAAGTGAGAGGCAGGGCTGACCATAAACTGACTCAGCAGGAGTGTGTGGCCCAACCCGCACACAGAATCCTGCAAAGGGCGGAAGCCACGCCGCAGAGTGTGTTAAAGCACAGCCGTTGACGAAGCACTGCTTACCACGAAGCCTTGCTGACCCGGGCGACCTCGGCTTAAAAACAACCAAGAATTGAAAAACCAAACAAGCAGAGACATCAGTTATTGAACACTTGGACCTTGGCAGAGACAGACTCTCTCAAACTAGTCTGAGCAAGTCAATGAAGCAACAGCAACAGCTATCTCCACTGGGGCGGAGGTCAGAATCCAGACTTGAGGCGGGCTGCATGGATGGACATCTGTTAATCTCATCAAACTGTATGGACTGTATAAAACTTCAATCTCAACGAAGTTTTTTTGTTCTTTTTTTTTTTAAACGGAAGGACTGGGGATTGAACTCAAGACCTTGTGCATGCTAAAAAGGCACTCTGCCACTGAATTATTACCCTCCCTCCTCTGAAGTAATTTTAAAAAAAATGTGAGCCTTTCACCCCAAAATTCAACTCCCTAAAGGTAACCAGTTACTTCAAGTGAGTATCCTTTCATACTTTTTTCTGCATGTGTATAATCATAAATATACAAAGTATACACTTTTTTTTTACCAAAAGGGTAATAAACGATATAAATAATTCTGCAACTTGCTTTTTTCACTTAATAACATATCATGAACCCCCTTCCACAGAAAACATAACAGGTACTTCATCTTTTGTTTTCAGTAGCTACAAAGCACTTGTGTTTGGATGTACCATGTATTTATCCAAGACCGTTTTAATGTCTGTTGCTTTTAAAAAGCCTCCAACTGAAGGGCCATTTGAGCTGAGGTGTGGAAGGGGAAGTGTTGTCGAGGTGGGGTGAGGTGGGGTGAGGTGGGCCCTCCCAGGGCGAAGCACAGCAAACGGCAAACACCGCAAGGTGAAAGAGGGCAGCACACGTTAGGGACGGAGCTATGTGTGACCTGTGTGGATTAAAGACACAGGAAGAAGGGGAGGCTGAAGAGGTAAACAGGAGCAAGGCCACACGACACCCAGGCCCAGGTGATTAGGCAGCGTGTAAGCCTCTGAGGATTTTAAGAAGTAGAGCAGTGTGACCCGATCTGTGTCTGGACACATTCTGGGCGAGAAATGGTGCTGGGAGAGTTTTATAGGCCAGGCTGGAGGCTGCAGTACACTGGACAAGGGTGGAAGTGGTGGGTGTGCTGGCTCAGTCCAGTCGTATTCACATTGACAGTATGAGGAGCATCTGTCCACCTCATTTCTTGTGATGAGTAGGTTATCATCCGTCTGTAAATTTGTACGATGTGATAGACAAAAACCGGCCTTATATATTGTCTCAGTTTGACTTCGATCTGATTACCATTGAAGTTAAGAATCTCTTCATGTTTACTGGCCATTTTCAATTTCTTCTCTGTGGACTTCTTTATACCCTTTGTCCAGCTGTCACTGGGTTGCTGTCTTTGGTCAGATCCTCTTTACATACCACAGGGTTAACCTCTTGTTTGTTGTGTTACTGTAATTTTTCCAGTTTATCATTTGTCAGCTGACTTTGTTTTTAGCGCCTTCTACCACTGAGGGTTTTCTGCTTTCAGGTATTCGAATCTGCCTGTCCTCCCCTCTGGGCTGTTACAAGGCACTTCGCCCCTCACACTGGTTTGGGTTCACACTGACATTTTCAAAGGGCAGAGACTACCTGGTGTCCCTTGTGCCCCAGGAGACATGCAGGCAGCAGCTGAGTTGCAGCTGAGAGTTCTAGGAAGTCTAAGTGAGAGCTCAAGTCTGTCATCTCCTTGGAGGTCTTCCAGTGACCGCTGCGGCCCTGGGGACAGTAGTTTCCTGCCTTCTGAGAATTAAGGAGGGCTCTACAGAGACCACTGAAAGAGAATGTGAGAATTCCCCATCAGGGAAATGGAGAAGAGAGTGGTGCCTGCCTCACGGAGCCCAGCCCACAGGGCTGTTGTGAAAGTGCATGAGATACTGCTGCACTATGTGCTCACTGCAGCCAGTGGTCACTGCTCCTTATTATGACTATAAATTCTCCCCAAAAGGAAAGACATTCAAAAATTAGTTACAAAATTTTAGAAGGAAGCTACTGCAGAATCCTAACATGGGAGAGTGCTACCAGAGACATTAGTCTTGAAATTTTAAAACTGACATTTCATGACAATTGTATCAACACCTCCAGATGAACTAAGTCCCTTCCCTGAGTAGAGGCAGGGCAGGGCACACACTCCTTGGCCAGCACCACCCGATCCTATCAAATTCCAGAGCTGTGTGACCCTAACTCCAGCACGGACTTCCTGTATTCCAGCTCCTCCCGGATGGAGAATGAGGAGTAAGAACCTACAAAGCACCCGTAACAAAACAAAATTAAACAGAACACTGGTTTGGTGAAATGTAACAAACTGGAAAAGAGAGGCCCTAGGAAACACCCTGGCCCATGTGCAGGACGGAACAGAACCTGGGACATGCACGCTCACGATACTTTTTCTTACCAAACTGCCCAGATTCCTAACAGCACTTTCCTCATCAGAATGAAGCAGGAACGAGTGCCTTCCACAGTTCTGACAGGACGAATGCAGAAATCAGCAATTCTGATGGCCTGGAGCCCGGGTGCCTTTCTTCCAGCTTTCACAGGACCTGCTTCTACAGAAGGACCACTCCCGAGAGGCTGTCCCTGAGCATCCAGACTGAGGATGACCCCACCCATCACTATCACATTCTCCTCCTCGATTTCTTCGATCACACTGTTGCTTCCTGAAATTGTTCTGATTACTTATTTGTACACTTACACATTTTCTGTCCCCTCAGTTAGAAAGTAAGCTTCACGACAATAAGACAGTTGCTGTCTTGTTCTTCACTGAACCCTCTGACCTAGAGCAGTGCCTGACACACAGTAGATGCTCAATAAATATCGTTGAATGAAGGACAAACTACATCCAGAAGTGCCAGAGAGTGGGAGGCTCAAGAGAAAAGGTCAGTGAAATATGTGGCATTAACCCCTTCAATTCCAGGCTGCTTTACTCGCCCAGTAAATGTTTACTGAGTAACTACCAACATTGCCCTCAAGCTTTAAATCAAAAAATGATTCCTCACCAAATGATAATGTGTCCCATGAGCAGCCACAGAAGTAAGGCTTGGTCAGACTTCTACACCACACTGACTTGCAGGGTACTCACAACCTTTCAAGCTCTTCTGTCCTTTTCTGATCCCACCCCTTTACTCATCCTTGGGATCTAGGCTGGAATGTAATTTCCTTAGACAGGCTTTTCTGGTTCACCCCAATCTAAACTGAGCCCCCTACCCAACACTGAGCACCACACCCTGTTTTTTCATTAGGCATTAATCACACTTCATAACCGCACATTCATTTGTTTAACAGCTGTGTCTCTTATTAGAGACTGAAAGTTCCATGAAGACAGAGATACTATTTTCCCCCAACTGTATACCCACTGCAATATCAGCACACAGTAGTTGCTCAATAAATAGTTTTAAAGCCAATCAATAAGGCTTTACTCTTCTCTTTACCCACAGTTCTTGGGTAAATCACTGTGCACTTCAAAGGCACACCCACTAGGCTGAACACATGAAGACAGTTTATAGAGTAGCATCAGAGATATCTGTTGAAGCCAGATCATGTTGGTTTGGTCACTGTGCACACTACAATTCTGGACAAGTCATCTGACTTATCTGAGTTTGCTTCCTTGTCCACAAAGTAAAGAGATTGAACTAGATGACCCTAGAGGTTCCTTCCAGAATTAAAACTGATCCACTGATGATTAAAGAAGACAGCAGGTTAGCAACGAGGATGGTATCTCTTGAATCAGGTTGGCCTAGAAGGTCTGGCTGAAAATTTTTTATGCTTCCCATGAAGCACGAGCTTTGGCTATGTGGCAAAGGGCACAAATCATGGGGCTCAGTTCCATCCAATGGGAGGCTTCTTCAGCATTCTATTGTCCCAGCCAGGCTGACAGCACCAAACTAATTTTCACTTAGTTAAAATTGGGACTCCAAGTAAAAGACTACAGGGAGTCCCTCTAAACTTCTGAAACAGCCAAACCATGATCTGTAATATGTTAAGTCAAACTGTTTACCTTGATTCGAGGCATAGTAACTGTAGGAGGCTTTGCTTCGGCCACAAAACTGTGAGATGGTCCTTTTTCCACAAGGTAAGTTGTGTAGGGCATAAATTTCACACCCTTTGACCCAAACACAAAATCATCTCTCAAGCCGTCTATCAGCACAATAACAATTTTACTGAAGAGAGGTGGTGGGAGCTTGGTCCAGTTGGAACTGGCTCCTAAAAGTGTTTGAAAGAAAAAAGGAAATTGAATTTTAAACTTTATGTAGCATTCAAACACCTTCTAATGTAGTTTCTGCCTACTTCTCCAGCACATACTCTGTCACATCTACATATCCTGACCCAAAGGAAAAGGCCTGTTCTTGGTAGACAACGCTGGGTTCAGGGGATGGGCAACAAGGAAGCTCAGAGATCCCCAGTATTAAGTAGCAAACTGCCCTTAGCAAGGTGAGGAGTACTGGGACAAGGGAGTGTCCTGGAATGGGACACCAGGGCGCCTGACCCCAAACACAGTGCTATAGGTAGGGGATGGGTGAGCATTTACAAACTGTTTACATGGTTAGCAGCTGGTATTGTGTGGATCTGGTCCAAAACCTGAGTGTCTTTACCTGGTATATACTGCTGGATAGGTGAGGGCTAAGAAGGGGGTCTATGCAGGGAGGTCTTAACTACTGAGCAAAACGGGGTCTTGGAGGAATATCATAGAAGAAAACACGAGAGGTCGGCAGGAATCTCATCTGTTGTGTCTTACTGAGCAAAAAGGGTGCCTGGAACAGTGAGTGACGCAAACACCTGCTCAGGGAAGGAGGTCGGGGTGTCACTGGATGAAGAGTGCTGGGGAGAGGCTTGCTTTTCACGGGTGTAGAGAGCTTGCTTTGTGGTGACCAAGGAGTAGGATCTTAGTAGTAGGATGGTAGCGGGGCTTGCCAAAAAGTTGTAGGATACAGAAAAGGAGACTGGAGCGGTAAGAAGGGGGCTCTTGGGGGCGAGGATCAGAATGGAAAAGGAGACCACTCGGGAACCCTGGGAAGAAGCCCAAGAGGCAAAGCTCATAAGGAGGGTCCTCCGGGGAAAAGTGGGGCCCAGGGAGCAGAGATGCCTGGGGAGTGGTCCGTACCAGACGAGGGTTCGGGCGCTGGGGGCTCTGCTTCGTTCTCCGTCCTGGAAGAGAAACAAATGGGGGCCGGGAAAAATCCCCGAAGGAAGAGGGCGACCCCCAGCACCTCGATCACTACGCAGCAGGCGGCGAAGGCCCCGGAGCCTAGCCGCATCGCGCCCACCCGCCGGGCCGGGACGCAGGTTCCCAGACCCCCGTGCAAGTCTCGCCAGAAGCAGCCCCTTCCGCCCCGAGCAAGCCGCCTCTGAGCAAGCGCGAACCGGAGGGCCTGACAGGTTCCCGTCGTCTATCCGTCAGTCTGCGCGCCGGAAATGCGCACAAGGGGGCGGGCGCTTCCGGGGCGGGGCGGCCCTGGGCTCCCGGCTCCTCGTGTACTTCCAGTGCGCCTGCGCGCGAGCCCCCGCCAGCCCCGGGGTGCAGTGAGGTGTTCCGTGTGCTGCGTCAGTGTGTCCGTGTGTCTGTGTCTTTGTGGCCCTGCCGTGTGCGTGCCGCCTGCTAGGAGCTGTCACACATTCTGTGAGCCTGCTGAGTCAGGTGCCGTCGCCCTCAGAGCCACTTGTGTCGTGGGCAGGTGTGTGCAGAGAACGCGGTCTGTGACTTGGGCCTCGAGTCAGGCCATTGCGTCGCCAGGTGGCCTCCAGAAACTCCGGCTGACGTCCCGGGTCAGGGCCCCCTGTGCGGCGCTGAACTCCGGGACATTGTTGGGGCTTCATCAGACCCCTTTAGTGCCCAGTGCCTCCACCCCTGGCTTCTGGGCAGACAGGGGCCGCAGCTCACCGCCACGCTCTTCTCTGAACGATTGCCCTTGGCTGGTGGGATCTGCTGCGCTGGGAGTTGTCGCTGCCCAAACACCTTGAGCTCAAGACGGGTTGTGGTATAAAGGCCCAGCTCCTTTGCCTCAGAGGGGACTGACTAGTGCTATTTGTGCTTTCTTGAGTGTTTATTTCATGAAATAGCATTGGGTTTTGTTTAAAGCTTTTTCGGCATCAGTTGATGATTTTGTGCTTTTACTGCACACAGTTATTGTGGTGTATTACGTTGCTTGGCTTTAATATGTTGAACAATCTGGGATTGCTGGTGTAGAGACCCTGGCTGATGGCATAGTCCCTTCAGTCGGCTGTTGGTTTCATGCTGTTACTATTTTGTGGAGAATTGTTATATTCATATTTATAGGGATACTGGTCCAGTTCTTTAATGGTGTATTTGTGTTGATTAGATTGGGCTTGGTGTCTAGCCCTAGGGCTGGGGCTAGAGTAGGAGCTGGGGCAGTGTAGACAGCCCCTTCGGATGTTTCATTTTCAAACATCCCTGTGGTTGAGGGCGCCTCCTCCCTCAGAGCCTCTTAGCCTGCCAAGAGAGGTAATAACCCTCCACTGAAGGTGGTCCTGCTATCCCTTGGCCTTCGGGTTGGAACAAACCTTTGACATTTATGCTCATTAAGAATCAGAGATACAGGAGCAACTAGGCCTCCCAGTGGAGAGTTTCACGCTGAGGTTGTGTGGTCTTAGAAACCTGTGTGCATCCCAAGCCCATGCCCTGTGGGCTTTGGAAAGCCGCCAACAGTGGTATTGTGGTATAGGACAGTCCTCCAGACTCCCAGTGCCTCACTGAGCAAGAGTCTCCTTAACACCCGGGTATTTGGTCTCTGCTCTTTGTAAAGAAGACAGAAGAGACTGGAAAAGGAGCATGTTTTTTTTCTTGGATGGGTGATTAGTGTAGCCAAGGGACAGATGTGATGCCTGGGCTTCCGCCTCCCAGGGATGCAGATGAGGTGTGTGTGTCTTCCGAGGGCACATGGGCTGTTCTGGCCCAGTCTCTGAGATACAGAGATGCAGTGTCCAAGGCAGGAGTCCTGAGTTTACCAGCAACAGCAAAGTTGCTTTTTGAGCAAGTGGAAGAGCTTCTTGCCATCCTGGGAGAACAGGAAGAACACTGGGTGGGCGGCTGCAGCCCCTGACCCAAACCCCTTCCTTCCTTGGACTTCAGATCCCACAGCTGGGCAGCGGGCAGTCAAGGGGGGGGGCGGGGGCGGGAGTCTGCTGCTTTCCTCAAGGCAGCATCCGTTCTCAGCACCTTAGTTTTTAGGAACTACACCTGCATCTGGTCCAAACAGTCGCAGAGGGCTGACCCTATGTCCCACTCACCTTGAAGATGGGTGTATGATCCCACATCTGTCCAGTCTTATGTTCCATCCTCTCGGTGCTCTGATCGGTTCAAGGATGAGATATAACACAAGCTAGACCAAAGATATTGCAAGCTGTGACTTTTTTATGGAACCCAAGAAAGGAAAGACCCTTCCCCACTAGACTGGACGTGTCATCCTGGAGTTGCTGGAGGTCCCTGATGCAGTGAGAGAGAGAGACTGTGGCTATGAACGGGCCCTCCCAAAGTTACTTAGTAGGACAAAGGGACCAGGTCACAGTGTGAGAGTATGAGCGCCTGTCCCACCAGGCTCAAACCCACTCTTAAACCTGTCTCTTGCAAGCATTATTTTATTTCATCATTAAAATTATCCAGGGTATCACATGGCATTGAGCCATCATGTCACTTTTTAGGATCTTGTAGGAGAAAATAGTGTGGCCACGGCCTCAGGA